TAGATTAATTCACTGAATTAGAATTATTGGTCTACATTTTCTTCTCTTATTAAGATTGAGAGATCATAAAGGTCAGGGAACATCATTTATTTATCTTTGGATCCTATGCTGCCATGGTAACAGGTACTCAATATATATCTGTAAATAATTGATTGCATAGGGTATGCTGACTTTTGCAAAAATTATCCTTAAATTCTAAAAACTAATATTGTTACTTTTCTATATGGAAGTCAATATCCGTGACCATATTGAGCAAAAGTAGGCATGCCATTTTAAATAGATTTATGTCAAATAGACTTATTATAGTGATCATTTTGCAGTATATACAAATATTAAATCATTATGTTGTACATCTGAAGTCAATATAATGTTACACATCAATTATATCTTGATTGTTTAAAGTATTTTTTAAAGTTTAAGTTTTAAATTGTTTTCACATGATATACATTTAAAAAGTTATAACTGAAAAAAGGGGGTAAATCTAAATTTACTTGTCAAGATTAACTCATTTAGAATATAAAATACGTAAAGGGGAAAGATCTGAGTCAAATAATACTTTCAAACTAAAGGGTAAATTGAATGCTAGCTTTTGGGATCTATTTGAAAACAAGTCTTACTGGTTAATTTAAAAAAGTTTAGAAAGGGTAGCTGAATTAAGGGCTAAATATCTCTACTCTAATTATTTTGGAGAGAGGTCTCAGCAAGAAGGATCAAGTGTGCCTTACCTTACCAATTTATACACAGTCTGCAATGACCCAAATTGTATTTTATATTCTCTTTAGCTCATTTTAAGCTAGGCCAAGACATTTTCTATTTTAAAAACAAATAAGACTAGAAACCAAATTAAAACCGATTTATAAAATTATCCATTTAGGATACATAACATTCCAGTGGGTTAACTGATTTCTTCCCTATTACCTTACTTATAACCACAAAGATTAAATTTTCTGTTAGGATGATTAAAATGATTTTACTAAGAGTGTGCCTAGATGCTTGCAAGAGAGGAAGCAGAGTTATGAGTTTCAAAATAGCAATATTTGAAAACATGTGCATGAAAGAACTTTTGTAAGCATTCTTGGAATTATTTACTCTTTTTCTATTCCCCCCACCCTAATTAAAAAAAAAAAAAGGAAAGCTTTGGGTGGAGTTAACTCTTTTCAAATCTTAAACAATAACTGGAAATCCTGAAAATGTATTCTTTATCCAGTGGGGAAAACACTTTAAAGCTCTTTTTTTTTTCCCTCTAAGAATTGTTTAGCAAGGGAATTACTTGGTGGCTTCTATTTTGAACAGAAAATTCAGTTTAACTGCCTGAAATATTATGCCATCTGTGTTTATTTCCGCCATCCACAGAACACAATTCTGTTTTTCAAACATAACAAGTACATGGCCCTAAAAACCTAGATAAATATATAACTCAATGAATTCTTTACCAAGTGATGAAATTAGTTCAAAGGACAGGTACCATTAAAAAAAAAAAAAGGAGAAGAATCTGATTGTAGATATTGAAACATGTAAAGCCCAATGGTAAATTTAAAAATATTTAAGTACTTTGATTAATAACTATTTATGTCTTCTATATATATTGATCAGGGTGGAGGTATCTATGAGGTGAGAAATAGTTCAACACATGCCATGATGCAGTTAGTGGGCAGAAACCTGAGCCAGGTGCCAGAGGACCAAAGAGTCACAGAGGCATTCTGACTCCAGGCTGCTCAAACCTATACCACCTACAAGGCCCACTCACACATCTACCTGGAACAAGCAGCCTCTGGCATGTGAAGACCACTCAAAAATCAAATTTGAATTTAGTAATCAAGTACTTAAAAAGCACGAAGTGATATACAAATGTGGAACATCATTATTTGTCTTTACTTAAGGTATTTGAACTGATTCTTACCATTCTCTAAATGTAAGGGGACTTAATGTTTTTCTAGCAAGTCTTCAATGAGGAAAAATTCGAACATTTTATTTAGAATTTATACAGACCTCAAAGAATGTTTAAATTCTATTCATCAGTCTTTATGACAACCTGACATTTCTTCCATCGCCATGACAATCTTCAAAAATATCCTGAACTCTGATTCTTTCTGGCCTTATTCAGGGAGACATAATCTCTAAAATCAATCCCACTTTGCGTCTAAAAAGTGTATGCTATGCCAGGTTTCCTGTCCTCAGGAAACAGAGGATGATTTATAGACCTTGGTCACGCATGTCAGTGAGGGATCTTTCCTGGCTCTACTTAAGCCTTCATAGAACACAGACTAAGTCACAACAGAACAGTTTTCAAATCATCCTGATTGTCACTTGAAAAATACAAAGTAGGAAGGACAGAAGCAGACTCCTGAAAGCCTTGAGTGATGGTCTCCCCTGGGTGAAATTCATATGTTCCTAATCCTCTGTCTTCTATTTCTCACCTTGAAGGTGTGTGTAGAAGGACAGAGTTGCACAGTTCTCAGACATACAACCCTGCAGGCAGCTTCTGCTTGTCCATTTCCCTTACCCAGAGCATCTCTAAAATAAATTCTTAATTAATTATAGACAAATGCTTAACATATTCTCTGTTTTATGTTTCACTGATTTTTGTAGTTGCTTATCAGGTTACACTGTTGCCACCTAGCTTTTCTTAGGCTCTAATCTTGTTGCCTGAAGTTGCTTAGGTAAAAACTGACCTTTGATGTCTCAATTGTTTTTTATTTATAAAGTCTCTTTCCCCTGATATCTACTGGATGAGTCTGACAAATACATGGGATGGCAAAATAAACTGGTTATCATTAAATGACAACTTCTAATCTTTCAACAAAGCAGATAAAAACATGTCATTAACAATGTTAAAAAATGGACCGATATTATGAATATGATCTACTTAGGATATTATTATTATTATTATCATAAATACAAACAAAGCAATAAAAGAATATCTTTTAAACTTCTAATAAAAGCAATTTATGTTGTATATTAATTTATACATTTAGTGAAAAAAATATGACACATTAGACTGTCATGAGTGTTTAGAATCTCCAGTAAGGATTTTATGTCAACAACCAATCTTAAAATTTCCTACTCAAAACTATAACTTAGCACTTTTTGAAAACATAACTGGGCAAAGGAGAGAGTATCAATATTTCCAAATGTGATTAATACTCACGAAAGAATATTCCCAATATAGGCATAGTAGGAGCAACAGTAAGGCGTGGTTCCATCACAGCAGTAAGATTTGCAGTCTTTGCCACAGTGAGCAAGGCAATCCTCTACAAAATAAAAACCACATCCACAGTTACTATTCTAAAATCGCAGCTTTACAAAAAAATTACTTTATTTTACATCTTAATCGATCAATGACCACTTTTTAGTGCATTTAGATTTTCAAAGTGCTCAGAATTCTAAAACATTTGTAAACATTTAAACTAATTCCTTGTTGTTCTTTAGTTTCTAAGTCATGACTGAGTCTTTTGTCTGTAGTCTGCCAGGCTCCTCTGTCCACGGGATTCCCCAGGCAAGAATACTGGAGGAGGTTGCCATTTCCTTCTCCAGAGGATCTTCCTGACTCAGGGATCAAACCCAAGTCTCTTGTGTCTCCTGCACTGNCCCTACCTATAAAAAAATTCTTTATTTCATCTAAATGATTTATATTTAACAAGTGAAGGCTATCTTTTAGCTATGTGTGCACTAAGTCACTTCAGTCATGTCCAACTCTTTGCAACTCCATGGGCTGTAGCCCACCAGGCTCCTCTGCCCATGGGATTCTCCAGGCAAGAATACTGGCACGGGTTACCATTTCCTTCTCCAGGGGATTTCCCGACCCAGGAATCAAAACTGAGTCTCTTATGTCTCCTGCACTGGCAAGTGGGTTCTTTATCACTAGCACCACCTGGGAAGCCCTATTTTTTAGTTGCAATCAGTTATAATCAGTGGTATAAATTATAATGAGTGAGTTTATAAATATAAATATAAAAATAAATATAAACATACTCATATAAATATGTGAGTTTCAGGTACATGTAAGAACACTTGTATAAAAGTATAGGCTGATAATTTGAGTTACACATTCAAGAATCACAAAAGAGGTCATTTCCAATTCAATCTCTGAAGGCAATAATTCTTATAAAAATTATACAAGACTTTTGTTTTCCTGTCAAAGTCATAATATAAAAGTGCAAATGTTATATTTATGCCTGCAGGTCCATGTAATTGATTTGTCTAGAGAGGGAAATATAGTTTTGGCTTTTAAATCACCTCCCTGACAAAATGATTCTTTACAAATTGATGTGATCAAAAACTAGCAAAGTTCATTCACCTCTATCAATAATGCATGACCTTTGTGGAATAAGCGAAAAGTTCATGTTTTCTTTCCCTCAATTTTATTTCTACTTCATAAATGAAAAAACCTTAATGTTTTCTTCAAGGATGTGGTAAGAAGGCATGAAAGGGGAAAATAATCACCTTTGTAAGATTCAGTAACTCTACTTAAATCCACTTAAAAATTTTGAAGACAGAAACATGACCTAATGATTTATTGACATTAACACTTTTTGCATTAATATGCTGTGTATGCTTTTTGCAATTTATTTTACCATTTTCCCAGGGAATTTCCATAGCTCTCATTTTTAGTACTGTTTAAAATATTTAGACTGCTCAGTTATGTCAAGCATGTAGCTGGGATGTTCTGCTTTGTATACTTAAAAGTCATTCAGATAGTGGGAGAGCTGACACCTTGCCTTACTCTGGTGGAGCAGGACAAGTGATATTTCAGTAGCTTCACGGGATCCTTTCTGAATGACACCCAAGACAGAGACATCTTATTAAGCTCTCCATGATTATCAAAGATTCAATTACTATTATTATAAGGACACAGTGTTATCAAAATATTTTGAGTCAATGTTTCAGGAAACCAAGCCCCAAGTCTTGTTGCCAAGAAGCCGGATTATACCTGCAGCAAATATCTAGATCTTGTCATACACTGTTCATTATTTTAATGGCATTTTCCAGCACTTTAGTCTGTTTCCCAGAATTAAACAACTGAAAGTGTGTGTTAATCGCTCAGTCATGTCTGACTCTTTGCGACCCCATGGACTGTAGTCCGCCAGGCTCCCCGTCCATGGAATTCTCCAGGCAAGAATACTGGAATGGGATGCCATTTCCTTCTCCAGGGGATCCTCCTGACCCAGGGATCTGAAATAACTGAAAAGGGAAGATTTAATAGCATGACAAATACACTCACAATCACATTTCCAAACCTGGATGTCAATCACACCTCAAACTTCTTTTGAGAGGTTACTTGCTTTCTCCGGTTCATTTGAAAATAATCCTATAAAGATCACAGTTTGGACAATATGGAGACAACTTCTCACTTGTGAAAGCGTGAAACATCCCAATGGCCCTCAGAAGATAAATAATATTACTACTAACATTCAAGTTAATATTCTTGAAAATTAGCCAGTTCCAATTTTTTTCAGTGACTTTAAGGCAGGATCTGGAAGAAGCCTCCCCACTCCCTTCTCAAGGAATGTGTAGAACAGGAAAGCATCTGGCTCCAAGCACTTGCTCAGAATTGGCTCTTGTAATCTACAGCTAAGGATCAGAAGGGAAGGAAAGGGAGGGGACAGAAATCACTGCACAGGCCAGGAAGGTTAAAACCTTGGCCAAATCCTGCCTTTGTAGCCTGCAGTGGGAGTTAGATAACCATATAAACACTCCCATGGATTTCTTTCCAAAAGTGACTCCAAAGTCAAACATAATGCTTCAGGTATAGAAACCTTGCTTTTATTTCGCTGACAAATGGATCCTGTATTTAATATATTTTCTTTGGGGAAAATAATTCAGGTTATGGACAGCTTCCCAGGTGGCTCAGCAGTAAAGAATCCGCATGCCAATGTCAGAGACTTAAGAGACCTGGGTCTGACTCCTGGGTTAGGAAGATACCCTGGAGAAGGAAATGGCAACCCATTCCAGTTTTCTTATCTGGAAAACTCTATGGACGGTGGAGCCTGGTGGGCTATAGTCCATGGAGTCGCAAAGAGGTGGACATGAGTGAGTATGCGTGTGTGCGCACACACACACACGTGTGCGCACACACACACATGCACACACACACACACACACACACACACACACACACATGGATAGTGCATCAACAGGTTTTTGTCCCATTGAAGCTGGCAATTCAGTTAACAGGGTGTCTGGATCAATCCTGGACTTCCCTGGTGGCGCAGATGGTAAAGTGTCTGCCTACAATACAGGAGACCCAGGTTCAATCCCTGGGTCGGGAAGATCTCCTGGAGAAGGAAATAGCAACCTACTCCAGTATTCTTGCCTGGAAAATGCCATGGACGGAGGAGCCTGGTAGGTTATAGTCCATGGGGTCTCAAAGAGTCGGACATGACTGGGCGACTTCACTTCACTTCACTTCTGGATTAATTCTATTTCTGTAGTGTTCCCCCATCTCATCCCAATTCTCACTTCCAGCCTTATCTCTTAGTTCCAACCCAACTGTATTGTCTGTTTTTACACTTCTCATGATCTCTGTCTTTGTTCATACACTATCCTATTTCATCTTCTAAAAGGTTTAGATCCTAAAAACCCTCCTCAATTCAAATTCAGAGTAAATATTTATTGCGCTCCTCTTATGGGTCAGATATTTTGTTAGTCTCTGAGAATATTATGTTAAAGAAACAGACATCATTTTCACAGAGCATATACTCCTAAGTCAGCAGTAAAGTCTCCTCCTTTGAATACCTAAAGTACACCATTGTCTGTCTTCCATAATACAGCTTTTTATAACGTCGAGTAACGGGCACAGTTTATCTTCCAGACAATACTCAAAGTATGACCTCTGTCCTAGGCATCACTCAGCATACCTCACTCAATTAACAGTAGTTGAGTCAATGCTGCAAGCATAAAGAAGCCTCTGAATAAAGAGCTCAGGAATTAATATCAGAAAACTGCATTAGCTAATCATTTCTTATCAAAGGTGATAAGCTGACCTATCACTGGTGAGTTATGGCTTTGTAATGTACTGAGNTCAATTAACAGTAGTTGAGTCAATGCTGCAAGCATAAAGAAGCCTCTGAATAAAGAGCTCAGGAATTAATATCAGAAAACTGCATTAGCTAATCACTTCTTATCAAAGGTGATAAGCTGACCTAGCACTGGTGAGTTATGGCTTTGTAATGTACTGAGGAGGGATGCAGATGGAGAGGGAATGAGTGGAGTAAAAACTTCTACATTGATCAAGCTCCCTGCTGGCCAGCTGCTTGGGTTCCCTGAATCCTGGGGGTTGGGGGGGTGGGGTGTGCACTTAACATTGGGGGAACGGGAAGAAGGGAAGGAAAATCAGAAGCTTCAGCTCACCAAAGAGAATAAAATAGACAAAAGAACAAGAAAAAGTTGTTCAATGATGCGGTTGAAGATGAGTGAAGGTATTAAAATTTCACTTGCTGTATTCTATTTTCTCATTTCTGTTTTCTTTGGTAAACAGTGGAAGTGAAAAGAATCGTCACTGCTCCGAATCATCTAATGAAAAGATTTTAATATAAAATGATATTAATGCAATTGATTCTGTTAGACTCTCAAATTCTGCAAACTTTATAGGACTTAAGTAAAAGAAGTAAGTGCTGGAAGCACATTATGATGTGGACTCTCATTAAATAGAAAGTACTTTCCCTATTTTATGCATTTTGTATTTGAAGGTCAGCATTTTCCTTACAATAAAATACCTTTGAAACAACTCACAGACGGCCACTAATTTACATTTTAAACAGAGTGCAAATTTCTACAGGAGTTATCATCGTGACTCATTTCTCCCAAGGTTGAATGAGAAATTCAATTCTGTTGATGTTCAGGTAAGAATACTGAAGATCATCTTCATTTCAGGTGCCATTATTTTTGCAAATATCAAAAGGTAAATCACAGTACTATATATAAATTTAGTATTGCAAGGTCATAGGTAAGCCTGTGGCTTTTATTATAGGAAGTCAGAGACATGAAAAATTGTACAAAAACTCTGCTTTTATCCTGTTTTTTAAAAATATGAAGCAGATGGAAAACTGCATGTGCAATTAACTTTATACTTGAATAACTAACGAAAGACCATTTTGGGCTTCACATCAGTCACAAAACAAGAAAACCGCTTCACTACATCAAATATTAGCTAGCAATTCTAGCCAAGAAAAATTAGAATGAGGGAAATGAGATACTCTTCATCTATAAACAAGGGCTTAACAAGCTCAGCAAAAACAAATTAGACGCTGGGTGAATTTATGCCTCTTGAAAACTGTATATTTCAACTCAAAGCTTCCAGTTGCCCTGTCCATCATACTTGAGAATCAAATTCTAAAGAATGAAAACACCAGTCTATGGCTTTTTTGGGTTGGTTTCTGAAAGGAAAAATCTGGAATATTCAGCATGTGGAGGTGGAATAAGGCAGCGGTAGCCTTTACTGAAAAGTCGCCAGTTTATCTGAAAATCTTAGTGATACCTCTAAACTTCAGGTGCTTAAAAAAAAAAAATTCAGGTGCTTTCCTTCCACCGCTCCGTCTCCACTCTCACCCTATCCAGAAAATGGAAAAAAAAAAAAAAAATCCCTTAAATGTGGGGTTGGGGGTATTAATAGTTGTTCCGCAGAGAGAAAGGAAAAGAGAGAGAGAGAAAAGGACACGTGGAAGGAAAGGGACAAAACAGAACCGCGTGGAGGTCGAGCCCCGGGCTGGCGCGCGCGGGGTTCTCCCCTGCCGGCGGGGACCACCCAGCCTCTGACCGCCCACCGCGCCCCGCTCAACCCGCGCTGCCTGGCCTGTGACCCCAGCGCCGCCCGGAGCTCCAGTCCCCCCCGCTCCCGCAGCCCTAGGTCACCGACCTGCGCAGACAAAGAGCAGGACCAACTTCGGAAGCAAGACCCCTGGACACCCTGGCACCCTCCGCGCGTCCATCCAGGCCGGTGGCCGGAGGTGGCGCGCCAGGACAGAAGGACAAGCAGAACCGGTCTGTAGAGAAGGCTGCGAGCCAAGGGCGAGCCCAGCACCGGGAGGGGATGCGGGCGCCGGGGGGCGATCAGATGGAGCGGGCAGCGCTCTGGAACGCGGGGTGGCGCGGTGACCCGGCCATCGCGCTGGGAGCCTTCGTGGGGAGTCCGGGAGGCCGCGCGGGGCTGCGCGGTGGCCGAGGTCTCTTTGTCTGTCCCCGGGGCGGTCTGGCGGCAGGCTGAGCAGCGGATCCAGCGTCCTCGGCCACCCGGGCTCACATTTCATCTTCGCGGGTGGCACCTACGCGAGGCTGGGGGCGGAGGTGGCCCCGACTCCTCCCCACGGTCCGGTTCTTCCTTCTATAGAGTGACTCTCAGAGCTTAGCCCTGTCCTAAAGGAACTTTTTCTAACCTTTTGCTCTGACTGTCGGCACGAAGTTCAATAATCTACTTTATCGCCCTGCCCTCCACTCCACAGATTTTCCTTTGGAGTAATGGATGTTCCCCAAACTTTGTAATTTATCTGTACACAAATGGACGGAGTTTCCAACGTTGAAGATGTTAGATGAAGAAAACCAACGAGGAAAACCTAGTAGAACTGAAAAGTACAGAAATAGTGTATGTTTTTTTCTGTCGAAAGCTGGTAAAGCTTTTGTTATTTGTTAAACACCTAAAACATTTCCAGTAAAGTCAGGGAAAACAAAACAAGATTGCATACTGTCATCACTATTATTTAATACTGTTCTGGAGTTACTGACCTATGCAATTAGATAAGAGAAAGAGGAAAAAAATCATAAAAACTGGAAGGAAATTATCATTTGCAAATGATATGCTTTTTTATGTGGAAAGTCAAAGACAGACAACTAGAGTTGACTAAACAATCAATAGTTTTCTCTCATGCAAATAAAAATCAGAAAGTTATCAATTTTATACACAAAGGAGAAGAAAAGACACAAATAAGTGAATAGAGAGTCTCTTGACTAAGAAAATTAAACATAATAAAGGTAAGAATTCCCCCCCCCTCCCCAATTAATCTATAAATCTGGAAATTAAACTGGCAGTTCAGCTGGTAAAGAATCTGCCTACAATGTGGGAGATCTGGATTGGATCCTTGGGTTGGGAAGATCCCCTTGGGGAAGGAAGCTGGCTACCCACTCCAGTATTCTGGCCTGGAAAATTCCATGGACAGCATAGTCCATAGGGTCTCAAGGAGTCCGACGGGACTAAGCAATTTTCACTTTCTCTTAATAAAAATATCTATTTTTTTTCAAAACTGTCTAATTATAGTCTATTTAGAAAATAACCAAGTAAGACAATCAGTTTAAAAAAAAGTGGGAATGGAATAAGCCTCAATAGATAATAAATATAACATCACAATAACTGAAACAGTTTGATCAACGCTAAAATAGATAGGTTCAATGGATCAGAATGGAGATTTCAAAAATAGAGATATACATGCAGAAATTTAATTCATGGTTTTAAAAAAAGTATTATTTTAAAATAATAAAGGAGGAAATTATGGGTTATTCAGTGAATGTTTTAGGGTCATGAGTAGGCATCTGTGAAGTCTTATTTCCTTTCATCAAAATCAGTTCTATATGAATTAAATATTTAAGCTTAAGGATACAATCATGAAAATACTAGGTAAAAGAATGAGAGGGTGACATTTAAATAACTATCAAATAGAGAAAGATTTTCTAAACATTATTTAAAAACTCAGAAATCACAGAATAAATAATTGAGCAATTTGATTACATAAGAATTAAAACATTCTGTAGATAGCAAGCCAGGTATTTAACTGTTAAAAATATTTGCAATGCTTAGGCTACAGAGACCTGATCTCTTCACTAGATAAAAAGCTTTTAAAAATTATAAGGAAAAGAAAATCACCAATAGAAAATTGAGCAGGGAGATTAATGGATAACTGTCTTCTAGTCTTCCAAACACTTAGAAGAGGTTCATTCTTACTCTCAAAAAATTTTTTAAAAAGTAAAAATCAAAATGACAGCAAGACATCATTTTTCATGTATTAGGTAACCCCCACCCCCAAATCAGTTTTAAAAGACAGCACTGTAGCCATATGTATCAAAATTCAAATGCACACTCTTTAGTCAGTGCTTCTTTAGGAATTTATAAATATACTGCTACATGGGTATTAGAGGATGCAAGGATACAGCATCTCCAAAACAAATATGGCCCACTGCGTTTTATGCATCATTGGAGAGTTAATCATCCACCAGGTTTACCAAAAATCCTGGTCAGTGTCTTCTTTTCCGTCAGCCCCAATAACCAGTCTACCACCAGGTACCACTGATTGTACGCCCATCTCCACCCAGCTGTATTTGTATTTTAACCTCCATTTCTGCCCTAATCTAGGCTCTTATAGTCTCCGTTATAGCCCCTCTTCCTGCCCCCAGGGATATGAGCAGACTGAAGCTAGATTATTTCTTCTTAAACTACAGATTTAATCACATTTATTCACCTGTTTAAAATTCAGTGGATTCCTGTTGCCCTGTTGGATTTAAATTAAATCCAAACATTTAATCCCTGTTTTTTGACAAACTTCATCTCTTGGTCCAGTAGGTCTCTACCTGGTCTCAACATTCTGCCAAAGAGCACAATGTTTAAGCAACTGGGTGAATGATTGGAGCATAGAGGAAATCCCAGATATACAGGATGTCAAGTTCTAAAAAAAGAAGATAAAGGTGTATGTCAGTATTTGCAGAGCTGGAGATGGTATGAAGGATTCTTGGAATTGAATGATGCTTAATTCTGCAAATGAGGCTGGACCCAGAGTCTGGAGTGGGAATGGGCAGCTGGTGATGGAAGAGGCACCTGTTCCTGCATAGTTATTGCATACAGCTCTGGAAGGGGCTGGTTTTGCCATTGCAGCCAGAAGGTCAGAGTAGCCTTTCCCAGCTTACTTTTGAGAAGAAAGAGCTTTCTCCTCGTACAGTTCAAGCAACTGACCAAATAATGCTTGCCTACTGGTTCACTACTGCAAAAGAAATTCTGCCTTAAAATACTCAGGTGCTTAGGAGGCCCTACTCAATTGACAGTCAAAGATAAAGAGTGATATCAAGCCATTTAAAGAAATGTAGTAGCTTTGAAGGAAAAACTTTAAAAGTAGATACATGTATATTTGTATACATATATACACATGTATACACAAATTTATATGAAATAAGAAACCTTAAGAGCATGGCATTGGAGGGCATAGAAGAGTTTCTGGAAATTTGGCTTGAGATTTTTTTTTTTTTAAATCACAGTAGGTTTATAAAATGCTCACTTTCAAAAACAGCTTAGACCATTCAGTCAATAGAGAACATATTGGTAACATAGAGAATGAATACAAACATATGGAAATCATGGATAAAAATATTTTAAAATATCAAGGCACACAGAGGAGGTCCAATATGAGAATAACATGCAAGCTCGAAGCAGTTTTAGAAGAAACGAACATAAAGAGATTAAAAAAAAACATTCCGAGCTATAATATTTGAATTTTCAGAGTTAAAATGGAGAGTGTATATATGCCAGTCCTAATCTCCCAGTTCATCTCGTGCTCCCCTTCCCTGACCCCATGTCCACATATCTGTTCTCTATGTCTGCATCTCTATTCTTGCCCTGCGAATTGGTTCATCTGCACCATTTTTCTAGATTTGACATGTGTGTTAATGTACAGTATTTGTTTTTCTCTTTCTGACTTACTTTACTCTGTAAGACAGACTTTACACCCATTCACATCTCTACAAATGACCCAATTTTGTTCTATTTCATGGCTGAGTAATATTCCATTGTGTACATGTACATCTTCTTTATCCACTCATCTGTCGGTGGGCATTTAAGTTGCTGTCATGTCCTGGCTATTGTAGATAGTGCTGCAATGAACATTGGGGTATGTGTGTCTTTTTAAATTATGATTTTCTTATGCTTTATGTCCAAGAGTGGGTTTACTGGGCCATATGGTAGTTCTATTTTTAGTTTTTTAAGGAACTTCCATCCTGTGTAAATTAGGTAGCTGGTGGGAACCTATTTTACAGCACAGAGCTCAGCTGTGTGCTCTGTGATGACTAAATGAGTGGGGTGGGGAGGGGGGAAGTTCAAGAAGAAGGGGCTGCATGTTTACATATAGCTGATTCACCTCATTGTACAGCAGAAAGTAACACAACATTACAAAGCAATTACACTCCAATAAAAAAAGTTTTAAATGGTGAGCAGGTTCCAAGAACTTTTTAAAAAAAGAATCACGTCCCATACGTATCCCAGAGACATATTTGAACTTGCATAACTTTAAAATCATATAAATTTTTGTATATAATTTTAAAAAGATCTCTTACTTTTAAAAGATTTTTTAAAAGGAAAAGAAGCAGGCAGACATCAGACTTGAAATCTAAAAAAGAAGTGAAAATATTTCCAAACCATTAAAAGATTAAAAGAATCCTATTCCCAGATCAGATTCTGTTAATATTTGAGTTTATGAAGATATTTATAACCATGTTTGTTATCATTTTTTTTTTTGGTTATCATTTTAAAACATGGTAAAGTGCTTGCATGTCCAACAGAGGTAGAACATTTAAATAAATTTGCATGTTATAGCCAAACTTTAAAATGATGGGAAAAATCCACAAGATATACAGTTAAAAGGAAAAATGGGAAAGGAAAACTGAAAGTAATCCATGGATAAACAAATTGTGCTATATCTATCCATACAATGAAACACTCCTCAGCAACAAAAGAAAATTTGAAGTGTATGCAACAACACAGATAAGTGTCTGTTAAGAATATGCTGAGCAAAGAAGCCAGGCACAAATAAATCACTGTTCTATTTTGTTTATGTGAAATTCTAGAAAGGCATGATTAATCGGTAGTGACAGAAGGCAGATCAAGGATTGCCTGGGGGTAGGAAGAGGAAATTGATGACAGAAGGTTAAGCGGGAGCTTTTGAGGGGTGATGGAAATCTTCTATATCTTGATAATGGTCGCTCTTCTACAGGTGTACACATGTGCAGAAATCATGGAGCTGTACACTTAATGGTACACTTAAAATGTGTATGTTTTACTGTATGTAAATTTTACCTCAGAGAAGTTCATTTTGCAAAAGCTTTGCTACTTCATAATAGGGGATAAGATCATATACATGCTTTTTAAAAAGCTACTTTTGACTACTGAAATTTTAACTACTGGCTGTTTCATAATTTTCCCAAATAGTCACATATTGCTCTACATAACTCTTAAAATATGATAAATCTAGTTTTAAAGCAGTAGTAGGTTTATCATTTGCAG